CTTTGATCAGATTATCTTCTCTTTTTCTCCCCCTCATTTTGATTCTCTCTCTTTCCATTTCCTGAGCGTTTCCATTATATAAATATCTACACACACATAATGAAGTCTTCATTAGTTAGTTACCATTACAGTATTCAAACTCAAAACCACCCATTAGTCCAACTAAATGGGTTCAATTGTAGTTCTCTGCCTATTGTCGCTGTCGTCCGCCGCCGCCGCGGTGGACACGAGCTATGAATCCGGGTGGTGCAACGAGGAGGAGTACGCGACGGCGGACCCTTACGCTCGCTCCGTGGAGGCCATGCTGGCCGACCTGCAGGAGATTGCCGAGTTCTTCCCGGTGATCAACGGCACGCTGGTCGTTGACGGCGGCGGCGGCGGCGGCGGACCAAGCCCTTGCTACGGTTGGCGGACATGTTCCTGCACCAACGATTGGCTTTATGTTTCCCGATGTCAATTGTGTTTCGTGGAAGCAGTGAAGCAGCTCCGAGCGAGATGCCGGCCGCACAGAATTGGCGCCCAGATTGAGCTCAAGGATTGTTCCGTTCGATACGAGAATGTCCGCTTCTTCTAGTCCAATTTTTTGGGCTTGCCGCCAGCGTGCACCTTACAGATCTTCGTGAAATAAAAGCCCGTTGATTTTATAGTCATGTGGTTCCGATTTTAGAACTGTTGTTAATTTTTCAAGATACAAACTTGTTAAGAAAAATAGGGATTATAAATATTTTTTAATTTCAATTATCAAATCCGTTAAATCCGTTGTTAACAGCCTGTTTGGATTGACAAAAAAAGTAAGGATTTTGGAATTTCATTTCCATATATTATGTTTGGAATAATAAAAAGGTTGAGAATTGAATTCCATTTGGTCTAAATTTTGGGAATTACAATTTCAAAAGTGATAGGAATTGAGAGAATGAAGATGGAATTAGTGGGACACATCAATATTTTTATTATTTTATTGACCCACTATCATTTTCCATCTCTTTCTCTCTCATTTCGTATTTCATTTTCCAAAATAAAACAAACATATTACATTATTTATTATGGTTAAAAGTACAACTCATTTCAATAGTTGTAGGAATTATACCGAACACTAGAATTGGAAATGGAATTCTATAAAAATAAAAAATTGAAATGGAATTCCATTTCCATTTCTTCCGGAATTGTATCCAAACAGGCTGTAAGAGATAAAATCTAGTGATGAGTACACGTTTTTTGGGCCGGGCCATGAGTTGTTTTCCATTATTATTATTATTGTTAATTTAGGATATTCTTTGGGGTTATTTGGGATTATTATTTCTTGTTAAGGAAATTTTGGTTAGGATTTGGACTAGTATTAGTTTACCTTATTTGGGAGCGAAAAGGTTTGTAGGATTAGTCCTATAAATATGTACTTTGTCTCTACGTTTTAATTATCAAAGATGAATAAACTAGTATTTTAGTTTCTTTTAGTTTAGTTGTTATGGTTACACGATGGCTGAAACGTTCATCTATCATCTAGTTATATACATGTGCATTGATCATTGACCCTTTTGTTTATATGGCCAATTGATATTACCGAGTGATGACGATGGGGCAAGGTGCAAATGGTACCTCAATGCCCCATACCCGCCTCATACTAATCATAAGTCAAGATACTTATTTATAAACTAAGGTAGAATGCAGGCGGAACACATTGGACAGAAGTAGAACTCATACCTCGTCACACACTACTACGCACCGATACTATCCATCCTAAACAAATCCGAACAAGTCAGATCCCATAAAGGAAGGTCAAAACTTTTTTTTTTTATCAAAAGATATAATGTATTGATAAAAAAAATAGAAGAAAGGTCAAAACTTGCTCTCACTAGTAATAGCACAATGTATGGATCCTTCTGCTTTATTTGGCCAGTTTCACTCACTATCAAAGACAAGTAATCCCTGCAATGATTTTAACTTTCCTACAGTGGGGAACACTTTTTCTTTATTCACCTTGCCCAGCAGGCCAGCACTATCATGAATGAGGGTTCGGTTAGCCTGACTACCCCTAAATGGGTAGTGATTTTCGACACCCATCATCTAAGCCGTCCATTGTAGATAGTCTTAATCTAATGATAATTGCAAACAGTTGGTAATTATTGCTCTAATTCAATAATTAATTACATCGTAAAAGAGAAAGAAGTAAAAGTGGCGACCCCACTCATAATTTAATATTCAGTCCCTCTTACCTTTTTCACTTTCACCGTTTCAGTTCCCCTTCCCTTCTATACCTCTGCCTTCAGAACCCACAAGAAACCCTTCGCCGCCGACTCATAAAATCGCCGCCGTAGACCCTAATCTCCTTCACAAACAGCGGTCGGCCACTCCCTCCCGTCGGAAGTCGTCTCTCTCGCCCAGACCGAACCATAGACTTCAGCACCCGCCGCAACCCTTCGCCGCCGACTCATCAAATCACTACCCCCGCCGTAAAACATCATCTCCTTCACAAACAGCGGTCGGCCCGTCGGAAGTCGTCTGTCTTTCCTCCCGAACCATCGACTTCGAACCCCCTTGATCGATTCCCGTCGCCGAGAGTCAACTAGCGACAGAGGCTATATAAGCCGACAGGGGCGCCGACGTGATTTTCCGCTTCAATTCATCCTAAGGTGAGGCAAGTATACTTGAACGATAACAATTCACTTCACGGATGCATTTATTTTTTGTCGTCTCTTTCACTACGTTATTGCACGAAAGTTGTAGAGTTTTTGCACAGTGGTAGTTCATGTATTGGTAGTTCTATCACTATAGTGGTAGCTATATCACTGTAGTGGTAGATGTATAACTATAGTGGTATATCTATCAATATAGTGGTAAATCTTCCATATGCAGCGGTAGATCTAGCGATGGAGTGGTTCAAATATCACTAAAGTGGTTGTTCATTGTAATGTTTTTGTTTCTAAGGCTATCACTGCAGTGATATTTACAAGATAATGTGGGTTCTTTAAAGTACCACTACACTGGTAGTTTTGTTAGTTCTCAGTATTGACTTTATCTTCCAATGAAATCGGGAATGGCAATGACGAAGAGAACGGGTCCTGAGATGCCAGCAGGAAATCAAATTGCGAGGCAGAATCCTGGGGGCCAGCAGGAAATCAAATTGAAGAGTTGACATTTAAAGCTTCCGAGGCACACGAAACATTGTTCCCTGCAGCTACTCAAGTGACCCAGCCATCCTTCGCCAACTGATTCTCTTTTGCTTATGATTCGAGGGGACTATTTGTTTATTTGAATTTGAAGGATAGTTTGGTCTTTGTTTACATTTTCGGAAATTTTTGAAACCCAACTTGAAACACCGTTATTAGTTCAATGAATGGGAATTGCCTATTATGTTGTCTTATTTCATCTTTTTGTTGTTTGAAAAAAATTATATACGCGTACTAGTACTGTGGTACATCACAACAGGTATCGGTTTAGTGGTAGGTCGGAACATGTGCCAGTGTAGTGGTACATGTACCACTCCACTGGTACAACTACCACTCCACTGGTACATGTACCACTCCATTTGTACATGTACCACTTTTTGTGATAAAAAACTAATCTAGAATATAACCAATATAAGTTACAATGAATTTATCTCTCTCAACCACTGTGATTAACAAAATCACAATGTTCGTAATATGAAAAAACTGGTGCAATTATCAGAAGTTAGCAGGATATCACTCCACTGGTACAACTACCACTTCACTGGTACATATACCACTCCACTGGTAGTCTGGTACATGTACCACTCCATTTGTACATGTACCATTCTTTGTGATTAAAAATAATCTAGAATATAACCAATATAAGTTACAATGAATTTATTTCTCTCAACCACAGTGATTAACAAAATCACTGTGTTCATAATATGAAAAAGCTGGTGCAATTATCAGAAGTTAACAGGATATCACTACACTAGTACATCTATCACTCTACTGGTACATGAACCACTCCAGTGGTATGTGTATCTGTTCAATGGTACATGTATCAGTTCAAGTGACCCAGCCATCTCCGACGGGTTCTCCGCCGACGAGAAACCCCCAAGCGTTCTTCTCATGTTCTTCTTCATCTCCGCCTCCGCCCTTCGTGTTCTTCTTTATCTCCGACGGGTTCTCCGCCGAAGAGAAACCACCTAGGTGTTCTTCTTCACGTTCTTCTTCATCTCTGCCGCCACCCTCATGTTATTCGTCTTCCCCTGTGTATCGTCCTTCGGCGAAGAGCAACCCACCAGGCAGGTCAAAGGCGATCCCACCGTCGGCGAGCAACTCGATGGTTTCCGGCCGCCATCGATTTCTGCAGAGGAGAGGCCACCGTCAAGTTCTACAGAGGAGAGGGATGGGTTGCTATTTTTTCGGGAGGGAATATGGGGAATATAGCAGCTGAAAAGGCACTGAACTCATCCAACGTTTTTCTCCTTCCCCATTCATAATTATTAGCACAATTAAGGCTTTCCCAATTTACAAGATTACAATAAATAAAATAAAAAGCAACTTTCATTAATACAACTTACCAAATGATTAAATGGATAAGTGACCAATCAAGAGGAGGGTGTCAAAAATCACTACCCCTTTAGGGGTTAGCATAGTATCCGACCATGAATGAGCATAAGGAGAAACCTAGGCAGCGAGTATCAGAGAAGAGAGAAAGTTCCTCGGCGGAAAGAGAATGTGAGGTTTGTGAATCAGAATTGGGGGGCAGGGGCTGAGGATCTAGGAAGGATCCCGTTGTATTTCCTGCTCCTTAGTAACGGTAATTTCGGACCTAACTCGTGTAATCCAATTTGTTTAAAGTACTCAATTCATGATAGCTTTGGACGGATATGAATATTGTTTTCGGTCTATCTTGTCCCATCTCTCTGCATTATCGACTCGTTCTATCATGATTTGCATTAATATATCCAAAATTTTATTAAGTGATAAACTTGTAATAACTTTTTCATAATTAAAAATGAAAAAAATGATACTACACATAACTTCTCTGAAATGAAACATTAATTTACAAAGAGAAGAAGAAAAAAAAATTATAATATACACACGACGACACAATTGTGCTTGATTTTCTTCACGTCTCCACAGCAATTTCCTACTACTCGATGTAGCCATCGGACCCATAAAGGGACAAGTGATAACTAACGAACCCCACTCACCCCACATGTACAACAATCTTTTGAATGCCCATTTTCTACTTCAAACTAGAAGAAGCTCTCAAGACGATTTACTTTGCTTGATGGGTCCAATTCATTTGGGGAGGAAGCATACGCTCGATGTCTTCTCGTTTCCTCTTGGCAAATGGGGACAAGGTAGACATTACCCTGGCAGAAACCACTTTCCTCACTAGCAACTTCCATAAAGTGTCGTCGCCCTTTTCCTCTTGCTGCATTTTCAATCTGAATTGCCTGTACCAAATAAAACAACACCCAGAAAGAAATTAAGATTCTGGCATCTGCTAAAGTTCTTGGTAGCCAAACACCAGAAGTCATAGAGGGATAGATCAGAGATCAGAGGATGGAATGGCAACTATTTCAGAATTCAGAGAGAAGAAGATTTATCTCTTTCTATCCGTTGTGCCAACCAAGAAGGTCATTATAATGAACAATTTAGTCAAAATCACGTTTAAATCTTAAAAACTTGTGTTTTTATACTTCTAGAACATCAAAACACTTCTAAGTAGAATGTGTTTTTTCTACACTAATGTAGTCAAAATCGTGCTTTTTCTATATACAGAGATTTGGAAACAGTGACATAATAAACGCAGGCAGGAGGTACTGCCTGGTGGGGTTACAAGTGTTGCTCTCACGAGGCAGGAGGTAGGGACCTTTTACATGATCAGGTTTGCCAATAGTGAAATACCAGAAAGGGTCTCTTCCAAATGGTCACATTATAAACGCAGCAGCCTAATAAAGAGCATAACAAGCAAAAGCTTGACGCTTTAACTTTTGCAGCGAAGCAGACAAAAGGTAATGGTAAGGGCCCCTTTTGATTGAAATATCTCCCAAACAACCAACCAAAACAGAATATCTCAGCAACCAATTTGGACCCTCAAGGTGGCAATTACTTGTAACGCCTTTTCTTTTTAGGGGCGGCATTATGAGTTATGTCTATCTGTCTCTTTATTCCGGTGGGGAAGGTGAGAGGACTAATTTAGACCAGAGGATGTGCAGCAAACACCAAAATCATGCAAGCTGGTTTTCTCTAAGCAATACTAGCCATTGGGGGAAAAAATAAGGGATGTATTCTACCGTGTAGTGAACACCAAACATCAATTATCCCTCAACTCAATGAAAACCAAACAAACAAAACAAGCCTGCATATGGATCACAAGTTCATTTGACAGGATAATTGAAGAAGAATAAGGGAAGAGCTAATTACCTGCAGAGAGGGACTTTGCAAGAATTATGTTGGTCACATATCGAGGCATGAAGTCTGAGAAGCTGCCACATCCTTTTACAACGGGAGCACCCTCCATTAACCCGCTTCTTACAGGCAGCAAAGTGCTTGATCAAAAGCTGAACCCCTTGACAAGTAGAGAACTTGCTGCAAGGCTGGCTCTTCCTGTTAGGCTCGACATCATGCGGCCCGACACTCGTGCACCCTTCTGTGCATATGTGTTCTAAGCAATCCATCGCCTCCGCGAGCTCCATGTACAACCGCTGCTCTTCCCTGTGCCTTCTAGCTTTCTTCTTCCTCTGCGTAATCAAAGAACCACCACCCCCATTTCCAGCAGTTAGCTCACTGATCGATCAATCTCTTCAGAACCAACATTAATTCCACTCAGGGGGTTGACATTTTGAGCAAATTACCAGTTCAGCTTGATCAATGAACTGCAGGATCTCGAGCTCGAGCCAGGGATCATGGTCTTGCATGAACTGCCACCCTTCTGTTTGCTCCACGGGTTTGAAGTTGCTGGAGACCAACTTCATGCACTTGATGTAAAGGTCAGGCGCGTCACACAGCCGCGCCAGTTGAAGAACATCCACCACGTTATCAATGGTCAAGTTCTGACCAACCGCCTTGGCGCATCGCTGCTTCAGGGTTGGAACAGAGTAGACGTGAGACAGTGCCAAAAGATGGATCCCAAACTTCCCCAGCTCATCTTCTGCGTACCTAGTCACATTGGGCAAGCAATGCATCCCTGTCAATTTTGACCATATTCGACCACGAATGAAAGGAATAAACATTTAGGGCTTCCAGTTTCAGAGGAATTGTTAATTATTAATAACGATTGCGTGACCGACAAAAATAGGTTTAGCGGACAAAGTTATCCTAATCCCGTCGGCGTTTCGATTAAGGAAGCAGATTCGACAGTTTGAGAATAAATTAATCATTATGAACTATTGTATACTAATTATCAATGATCAAACAGTCAGATTTCTCAGCCGTCTAATTGACCGGGCGATTCTAATCAAGGCAAGACGTTGGGGAAAAGTAAAAGGGGGAATAAGTCGAAATGGAACCTTCTAATACCTTGACGAGTAGAGGAGGCGGACGAAGACGGCGACGGCGGCGCAGGGAACGCCGAGGATCGGAATGACCCTCTCGGAGCTACTAATGTGCTTGGGCGGACTGTCAACAATACTCTCTAGCACCGGCGACGCCGAGGCCTATACCGAAAGAAAACAGAAACTGGAGGTTCAGATCCAGTGCATTGAATTTGAAAACGAAAAGAAACGCGATGGAATTGGTTCGAGATTGAATGACCGATTAAGGAAATGAGGATGACGAGAAGGAGAGAGTACCAGGACGGCGGCGTGTGCGGGGATGCGGAGGCCGGCGGAGGTGAGGATCTGGATGTCCGGCTGAGGGAAGTCGGGGGAAGCGTCGTCGTCGCTGCCGGCGGATTTGAAAAGAGCGTGTGGAGCTGGTGCGCAGTGAATTGGCGCCTCCATTTTGCGAGATTCGGAGACGGGAGAGAGAATGTAGGAGAGACGAAGAGGAAAGGAGAAGAGCTGGCGTTTGGGCGGTAATGTTTGGGGTTTTGGGAGAGAAAATTCTGGAGTGTGGGGAGGTTGTTGGCATGGCGTTCGTCGTTGGCTTTTTATAACCAGTCATCTCCCTCTCTCTACTCCAGTACTCCCCCATTAAACAAAAACAAAACAAAAAAAAAAAATTAATACCACAAAACAAAACAAAAAACACTAATAATCTCATAAGATTATGACTATATCAAGGTTGTCAAACCGGTTTATGCTGGTGTGCCGGTTTTGAAAGTGGAATGGTCCGACCGTGGTACAACCAGTATTCACGCCGGTTGTGCCGGTTTTAATAAAATACATGAGACAAATGGAAATCCTCAATTCCAAATAAATTAGTCATCAAAAAGCAATTAGAAAAATTATTTCACACAAAATAATTTATAGATAAGAATTGGTAACCAATACTAAACAATTAGATGCTTAAAAATAAAATTATATAAAATGAATTTTATTAATGTTTATAATGATTTGTGTAAAATTTAGTGTTAGATATATAATATATAAGGTTAATATGTACAACAAAGTTGTTTGTAGCCTACTGGTGAATAAGAGAGTCTAAAATGAACATGAGGTACTTGGTTTAGATTCTAAGAAGGGTGTTTATTTTTGGATAAAATATGTGTAATATTGAATTCCGGTTTCCGGTCTAACCGGCCGGAATTTTCGGAATTGACCGGGTCTGACCGGCATTGACCGGATTTGACCACAATTAAATATCGGCTTCTTTCCAGCCGGTTTGGTGACCGATACCGGTTATATCCGGTTGAACCGGCCGGCATGAGACCGTTTGACAACCATGGACTATATACACTATATAGGCGCGTGCTGTTATACTAACACCTTAATCATTACTCATTAGTATGATTTATTTAACGGTAATTTTGGATTTTTTTTTCATTTTGCAAATTATGGGAAAATACGGCTAGTCGTTCAATAATAACACAATCATCTTTATTCACTAAACGCCTGCGCTTCGACGAGCTCCGAGATTTTCGGTAGGTTTTCTTGCGATTTTTCTCCTAGACTCCCTCGATCACAATAGCGGCGGCGCTGCCTCGTAGCAAGAAAGTCTCGATGGAGAAACCCCCGAACACAAGTGAAAGTCGAAGACTAGCGACATGATCCTCCTCGCCGGATGGGAAGAGCGATAAGGAAACTACCAACCCAGAAAGCGTGTTCGAGCCATGAACCCTGGAACAAGAAACGGTTGGTTTGAATGGCTCTACCGAAGATCAATCTGAGGTCTGGATATCATCAATTGAGGGTGGTAGATGGGTCCATACCTACGACGGCATTCCACACATGGTATGGCCACTATGAGCTCTTGGGAATGTCATTCGATCTAATTAATGCACCGACAGCTATCATGGCCTTGATGAACTGGGTCCTCCATGAGTATATAAATAAGTTCGTCATCGTCTTCACTGATGATATCCTCGTATAATCTAGGAGTGAGAAAGAGCGCGAAGGACACTTGAGGGTGATACTGCAGAGATTGAAGGAGGAAGAGTTGTACACCAAGTTCTCCAGATTTATTTCTGGCTAGGGGAAGTTCTATTCTTGGGGCATATGATTTTTGGTCGTGGAGTAGAGGTGACTCCCAAGAAGATAGAAGTGATGACAAACTGGGGTCCACCAAAGAATGTTCCTGAAGTACGGAGTTTTCTGGGCTTAGGAGGATATTATCGAAGATTTGTGGAAGGTTTTTCCAGTATTGCCAGACCCATGACACAATCATTGTAGAAGGGGAAGACATTTGTGTTGGACAAGAAGTGACTAAACAAACATTAACCAAGCCCGGCCATATACTAATCCACGTCGGCCTCTCAATAAGCCGGATTGTTAAACGGTGAATAGAGACACTTGTCAATAACTTACAGGTTTATTTTAACTGGTAATTGTAATCAGATGTTAACCTAAACTCTCTGTAATTTCTTAGGCTCCTCCTCCCTAACGACTTCAATCACTTTTTTGAACCATGCATATGTCAACCCATACGATGTTATCATCTTAAAAAAAAAAAAACAATAATTACTTTAATTTTCAGCTACCCTAAAACTTCAGGGGATAACTAAAATCCGACGTGTAACGGATAAAGTCGAGTTGGCAAGAATACCCCCAAAGAAGAGTCTCTATCTCCCTGCCCAACTTGGGCTCTTTGGCTCTCATTTGGTTTGCTTAGCTTAGCATCAAAATGACAAGTGGCACAAGACAACTACACGATGATGACAAGGCGAAATTCCTACTGGACGTGGCTTCATCCCCCCAGCCTCGTCCAACTGTCAGGAAGACTAATGGATCCCCCCACGTGTCCGTGTGTCAACCACGGCGGTCTTAAAATATCTAGGTGGCGGCGAAGTTTGAGTTTGGGCTGTGCCGAGCTGGAGCCCACGTGGAACGAAATCGATGCCTGAGATGTTGCGGTTGGTGTTATGTAGGCTATCAAGACGTAGAAGAATGATCTAACCACGTCTACACGTACTAATTGTACCGCATCAATAGAACATTTGTTGGATATAGATGTAGGTTTGGACTACTAGACAACGACAATAACAATAAACAGAAACAAGTAGGAATAGTTTTGTGAGTTTTGTGGCAACTAGATGGAGAGAATATATATGTTTATGTGCATATAAATATTAGACTTACCTTTCACTGATTAATAAAATAGCATTTTTCCAAATGTCTCACTTGATCATATTTGATAAAGCACAACATTAATACATATAATATTTTTACTATTTGGGCACTTGTGTTCCCCAATGGAGTATTTTTAAGTGGATTATCGGATGGGTACTAAAGTTACAGTCAGCTTTGATAAAGCTGATCAGTAGTTCAGTACTATGCTGAAAAGTGTTAATAAATTGTTGTGCCCCAAATTGAGCATTTTAAATTAGTAGATGTACAACAAATTAGAATTACCAATTTTTTTTTTTTTATTAAATTGATTTTCAGTTTGGGTTTAGAGAACTGATGTTTGGCGTTCATCCATAGAGATTAAGGTATAGTATCATATCTCAAATTTGATTTAATATATATTCTAGATAGATATATATCGTCAGAAATGCTCGATATATCGTATACTTCGAGAAATACAACAATTTGACTATATATATATATACACTATGTTTGTGTGTAATGAGTGGTGTACTCCAAATGATTTGGACATTAGATGTATTTTGAGTGAGCTCCAATTAATCTGAACGGTCGATTTTTGGTTTATTGCATTGATAAATTGAACTTCACTTTTGCATTTAGATGATCAATACTTCCTTAGAATTTAGGGCATACCGCATATAGAATCACATCTAAAACTTGTTTAATTTAAAGTTTAGACAGAAATATCTCACAAAGTACCTGGAACATACATGGTGTATTTTCTCATGACAAAAATTCCTCTATTGGCCAGCCCGATCGTGATAAAATTGGAGCCCAGCCGCGCAGCCCGTCTTTGCTTTAATCCAACCGGGTTCTTTTCTGGGCCTAGTTAGGCCCAATACAGTAGAAGCCCTGCTCTACAAAGGCTTCATTTTTTTTTCATACTCTGCCCGACTAAGCCCCACCCCAGTTCTCGCGTTGGACGGCCAATTGTCTCCATAGACCATAGTTGATAGTTATATGCATCCACAAGTGCATATCCACACACCTTCACACCACACCTTTGAGAAAAAGTGCATATCCACTATCCACATCAATTTTCAAATTTCAGTGGCCTCTCGAGACACCCCTAAAAGCGAAAACCCTTGATCGATATAGATTAGCCGTGAGGGACAGGGGAAAAGCAGGAGGAGGATCCTCCGGAGGTTTTTTATTTATTTTTTTCTTAGAAAATGTCATTTATAATTAATGAGATAGAAAATATAACTATCAGGTCAAAAAAAAAAGTCAAATCAAGTTACATGTCTCGTGTTGATTGTTGACCACTAACAATCAATACTAATAGAAATGAAACTTGGAAATACAACTATCATATAAAAAATATAGGGACACAAATGATAAAAAAAAGCCTGAACTACGAGGTTTAACAATAATAATCATAACAATTAACAGGCGAATAATGCTACAACAATGCATCACACCATACCTAAAAGATTCAAAATGGGATGGCTTAAAAGTTAAACCCACTTTCCAATCAGCAATCCAACTCCAACTTTTTTTTTGGGTTAATACCCTAGTTTGGCCCGAACTTTAGCGTTAGTGACAGTTCTGGCCTCATTTTTCAAATAAAACATTTATGGCCCACTTTTGAAATTATTGGACAAATTTGGCCTACGATTTGAATTGACCGTCAAAATAGACGGTCAACTATTTTTTCGTCGATGACTCAGCATCAAAATACTGAGGTGGATCCGAGGTGCCTGCCACACCATTTATTTAGATTAAAAAATTTAAAACAAAAAACTTAAAATAAAAACAAAAAACCAAAATACACTTTCCAATACCCTAAAGTCCCTCCCCTCATTCCCGTAAAAAAAAAAAGTCCCTCCCACCCAACTCACTCCCATCCCCACCGAATAGGAATCTGGAATCCCTAACATCTATCATCGCAACCCCATCCTCGCCACCATTCCCATCTTCGGCTACCTCCGCTCCATCTCCCCTACCATTTTTCTTGTCCGTCCATTTTGCTTCTGCTCCATCGAGATCCCGTCCACAAGATCAGAAGCTGCTGCTCTTTGATTGCCCCTATCCCTCTCCTCGTCGAACTCATGATGGTGCCTCTTCTGCAGAAGCGAAGGCGACGGGGAGCGTTGGCGGTGCGGCAGTGCGACGCGTGTGCGTCTGGCGAGAGTGAGTATGCCAATGGTCGTCTCTCCTTGGAAGAAGTAGCTGTCAATGGTCGTCTCTCCAAACGATTTCCCAGAACTGAAATTTTGGGTTTGGGTTCTTCGATTTTCAAAACTGATTCAGATCCCCGACCCAGATCTGGAGTAGAATGAAAGAGGGAAAAGATGTGGTGGCTTGACTCTGACGACGAGAGTTGCCATTTGTACAAGTAAGTCAGCCAGGGATGGCGACAATGAGAGGCAGCCATAGATTGTAGGATGGGGAAGGAAATTGGGGGAAGGATTTCGCAATGGGTCGAGGTGGAAGTTAGAAGAGGAAGAAGATAGAGGAAAGGGTTTCGTTTGACCATCCTTTTTTTTAAATGATGTGGACGTCCTAGTCAGCAGTGGATGTTGAGTCACTTATGGAGAAAATGGTTGACCGTCAAAATTGACGGTCAATTCAAAATGCGGGCCAAATTTGTCAAATAATTTCCAAAGTAGGCCACAAATGTCTTATTTGAAAAATGAGGTAAGAACTGACACTTACGCGGAACTTGGGGCCAAACTATGGTATTAACCTTTTTTTTTTGTACCATGCATGTGCAATAATGGGTAAGTGGAGGGATAGACAGAAAATGGAGTGTGACATTGTTTGGGGACAATGGTGCAACTTTGTCAAAGATGGTTGATATGAAGAGGAAGTTGGAAACAGGCGAAATCCTTTTTAAGAGTCCATTCATGAAAAGAACTTCCATTGCCTTGCATGTGCGTTTGCTCTTTTTTAGATGTCAATGGATTCCCATAATCTCTCGTGGGTCCGCTCCACCTTATTAGATTTCCGTTATAACGATAAAAGCTAACCCTTCTAGACTTGGAGATATGGGAGGGAAAATGACTTCTTGGTTTCCAATTTCTACCAAGGGTTTGGTTGGTTGGTTATGGTGGTTGCAATCCATCTCTTTTTTAGTTTAATTGTTGTTGTTTGCGGTCGTAAATTATATGATAAATGATCATCGATGTCAATATGGACATAAGCATCATTAGCAAACTCGTAATAAAGAGGGGGGAAGAAGTCAACATAGTGAAAGTACATTAACTGGCCACCAGGAGCATTTTCACGCAAATGTAAGGCTAATTAGAGGGACGAGCTATTGATACCATGCGCAGAGATTAGAAGCATTACTCATGATTGCAAACGAGAAGAAAACGAAGTACACTATATTCATAACATACATTTTCACGTATCAACACTTTTTGGACTTGTCTTCCTTCTTCTTTAAGTCCTTTTAGAAATTCATCGATTTCATATTCCTCACAACGGAATCTCTTAATCAAATGAATCCTAAGGTTAACAAGCCAAGGTTGTAAATTACTTGACAAATCGGCCAAAAAAACCCAAGAACAAACCAAAGGACAACATTGTGAAGCGGGCAAGACTTTTCATCCCCTTCAATTCCCCACCGCCACTTTCACAATCATCATTTAATCCCCTTACTCCAACCCAACGAGCTGTAAAATTACTGTCCCAGACCCCCTTTTTCTCCACTTCTCCATAATTACCCCCACACTTTTTCTAAACTAATAAATGAGGTCCCCCCAACTTTGAAGGCCCAATTAATTTACGTATCATCCATCCATCAATCTTCATCCATCGGCTAGCAACGTGAGCCCTTTCTGCAAGTGAGTGCACCCGCGCCAACCGTAATCGAACCCACAAGCGAAGACGGCCGCGCTCCAAGACTCGACGCCTTGGAATAGCTCGACGACGCACCGGCTCCCGACGCCGTGAAGAACGCCCCGTTCAGCATCAAGTCCCCCTCCGACCTCCAATTCCAATGCCTCCACTCGCTCTCCGGCGCCTCCTCGTATTTCGTCACCTGCGTCACGAGTTACGAAATCATAAAATCGATCGAACCGACGAAACCCAGATACTGAAGATGTAACGGAGTCGCGCAATAGCAGATCCAGATTAAAAATCACCGTTAAAAAAAACCCCGTCAATTCGAATTTTCTTAACGAAATAATTCGAAAAAGTTCGGAAAAAAAAGCGTAAATCACATCATTATGTATAATGTAATTAACTAATTACCTCTTTACTGAACCTATCATTAGGAGCAACGAACCGGTTCCCTTGGCTGTTGATGGTCGGATTAGCACTCCCTCCAATGGCATACATTTCCCAATGTGTGTAGTCATTGTTCACCACATGGAAGTAACCATGCCTACACCTGAACCCAACCAACATCGATATTATCCGATATTAAGCTATTACGGCTTCTCTCTAATCATGGTCGAACCACTGGTACGGTATACTTTCACCGACACGATCAATTAATTTAATTTAATTTACCTAGGCATTCTCTGAACGAGACCTTCACCAAAGTGATTAAACGCGATTGTGACCTGCATGTTCCTGTCCTGCGTATAACCATCGCTGTGGCCCAGCAACATGACCTTGTCGTGGTGGTTCATGTAATTGTTAGATATGGTAATCGCCGTGGACCCACGGATCGCATCGATCAGCCCGTCCCTACAGCTGGACAGCGAGCAGTGATCCACCCACACGTGGCTCCCGCCGAAGATCGAGACGCCGTCGCCGTCCGATACGGTCCTCCACCCGTAGTGCCGTGGGGAGTCCCGCACGTAAGCGTTCCCGCCTTGCTTGCAGTCGTGGATGCTGATCCCGTGGATGATCACGTTCGTCACGTACTGCACCGTGATGCACGGCCCGCCCGCCACGTGTACGCTCGCGCCTCGGCCGTCGATTGTCTTGAACGAGTTCATGATCAGCTCCTCTTTGAGCCGGATGGTCATGTCACGCGCGAAGATGATCCACAGCGGCGCGTCCTGGATCACGGCGTGGCGGAGGGTCCCCGGTTTGGGGTTCACGGCGTCGTCGTCGCTCGGGTCGGTGACGGTGTAGATCTTGCCGTCACGCCCGCCGACGGCGTTTTTGCCGAACCCGATTGCGCAGTCGGCGAGACGCTGCCGGTTCTTCTCCCAGTTCGGGTCGCACCGCCAGCAGTCGTCGATCGGGTTCCCGGTTCCGCACGAAAGGTACCCTAGCTTCCTCCTCGACGCATTTATTGCCCTGCGGTTAAAAAAAATATTACATTTAACCGTTACACACTTTGTCGTCTAGCTATGACAGTCAAAAAAAAAAAAATGCATCCAAATTTTTTGAATTCTAATGCAAGCTAAGCTAGAAGGTTCTTCTTGTAATTTGATCACATTTGGGGGAACCCTACAACAACGATGTCGTTTCGACAGTGGTGAACATCGCCAGACAGGCATTTAGGTGTTAGAAAATTAGAGTTATCGATTTGGAGCTGAGTTGCGGACTAGAACGTTCTCTTTAGGACGTTCGCGACACTGAATTGATTAGAAATTTCATTTATAACTTTTTTTCACAACTATTCATCCTAGCATTTACTGTTGGGAGTCTCTATGAATTATAATAAGCTCGTCATATTACCGTAACAAAAAATGTGGGATGGAGAGAGAAGGGAGGGAGGGAGGGCGTGGGAGCGGGGTAAGTGTACTTACCGGTGTACTTCCTGTACGACGAGATCGGGGTCGTGGACCGGGGAGGAGGAAATGAAGGAAGGGAGAAGGAGAGAGGAGAGAGTGAGGATCATGGAGAGCAATAATGTGGGAGATGATGCCATTGTGGGTTTGGCTTTGTTTGTGGCCTGTATATTTGGGGGAATGAAGGAATGAAATTGGAAGAGAGAAAGTGGGATGGTTTATATAGAGGAAGTAGTAGGAGTGGGGAGGAATGAGGATGTAGGGCACAAAAATGGTACAAGTTAGAGAAGGGAAATGGGTGGGAGAGGTTTGGGGTGGAATTGAACCGAACCGGTCCCAAAACAAGAGGAACATTTTTTTGGGCTGGTGGGGTAGAATCATTAAAAGGAAATTGTAGGGTAATGGTGCAGAGGCAGGCTGCAATCACTGCGCCGGTTGTGGTTATTCTCGAGCTGATTGCTGGAATTACGGGCGAGGCTTTTTATTTTCACCTTTACCTTTCCCCATCCTTTTGTGTTGGTTAATTATTCAGCATTATCATTGGTTTGCTGCCCATGTTGGTTGGTTGGTTGGTTTGTGTTGTGTGTTTTGGTAGTTTTTGGCCGTTAAGTTGGGCGGGAGATGCCTGGAGAAGTGAAAAAACAAAAAAGGTAAAAGACAAGAAGGAAAGAGTAAAGCTACGTGGCGAACGGTGGAGACGTTTACCGGTCAACAAAGCAACCCCAAAATTGAAAATATGTTTGTTTGCAAAGAGGAAGTTTTCCAATTTTCACTACTTTATATGCGACAAAGATTAGTGTATGTTATATGAATGTGTTCACATTTGTTATATGTATTTTGATGTATAAGGACTATCGTTTATTATTATTTTGGATTAAATGAATTTTATCGTATAGTACTCTAAACTCTGGTTAATTCGTGGTCTAAATAATAAAACTTGACTGGCGCACAATAGCGTGGACACAGACATATATGTGTACGCTTGTTTGTACCATACATATTTATATCAAGGATTGAAGAACCATACCGGAGATCGTATAAAAAAGTCAAGCAATAGCGTATTTTATGATGTAATCATAACTTATTCGTGGTTCAACCGTTTCATACCGCTAAAAACTGCGTACCAATTTAAAATCTAGTAAAACGTTTTCTCGATCGGATCACTGGTAGGATATGATTATATAAACATGGATATATATATGCACATTTTCTTCGATCCCCTTTTATTTTTCATCATTTAGGGTTTGACTCTTGAGAGTGGTACATCACCCTGATCATCCGATACTACCTTAAAGCCAGGGTGAACATTTGGTAGATGTATAGAAGCAAAAGATTGAGGAATATGTATATATACCTCAATGCCATTAAAAAAAAATGAAAAGAGCTCTCTCCTCTTTCCTCTTTCTCTGCTCGGACGGTGGGTGGAGAAGGCCGTCGCCGCCCTTTTCATAACGAGCTTGAGAAATCAGACCACGGAAACGGACGGAGCAAAATCGTTGACACGAGATCGTCTCCTTCAGGCGGGATTGGTGGAAAATAAACTCAAGTCGGGAGGAAAATCGATCCCTACCCCTGCGAACCGACACCCCAAAACTTTCTCTCGAGAATTTGCTAGGTGTCGAGGAGAATGGATCCGGCGAAGAAAGCGATCTTATCAGAGGATGTGTACAATGAGCTTAATTGAGGATGAACACCCACCAAAGCGATGCAGAAAGAAGCCGCTGGGTGAATGGAGACTTCGACTTCCGTCCTCGTCCGAACTCGAGGATGAGGAATCGACTCTGGCCTTGGTGGAGGGGGGAAAGAATCAAACCACTCTTCTCGTGAACGATGGCCTGGTTAATTTGACGCCCTTAGGGGTGGGGACTCCTCCCATGTCGCTGAATCAAGCGCAAGTCGGGAAGGGGATACCCTGTATCAGAAAGAAAACAGAGCTTCTTAGGAAGATGAATGCTTTTAGTGCCCTTGATAGTCAAGGAAAACCCCTCGGGGATGGAGAGGCCTGCCTGTTTCCAGAGGTTGGAAGGGGGAACACCCAGTCGGGTGATTACATGCCCAGGGTCACCGACGGCGAGCGGAACGTCGGGTCTGGTAGCGCCGTCGACAACCACAGGCCGGTGGAAAGATGTATGTGTTGGGTCGGTCCGAAGGGGGTTGCTGCCGTGATTTCAGCCGGATTATATTTTTCGGGATTCGCGGTATCTGCGGTAACCTCTCCCGATTCGGCAATCCGAATTTGATTGGGCGGAAGGACGATCCTACTCCAACTCAAACTCTGAGAATCGGAAGGAAAAGGGCTCTCGCCTACGGTTGGGGAACACGGATTCATTAATCTATAAATTGAGTCTATTGCTCATTAGCCCTCCACAAACTACTTTTTCTCGGATGGTGACGGTGGGCGCAGGTCGGCGAACAATCAAACCCCAAATTGAGTGTGCAGCGGCGGACATCCTCCGGTCAGGTAAAGGGAGTCCTTCCCTCTTTTCTCCAGACCTGAATCCTATTACTCCAAGTTCCTGGATGCCGCCAATTCCTAGTGATTTTTGGCTTAACCGGCCTAGGCCGGAGTACTTGGACGAGACTGGTGAGAGTGGAGGTTTGCTGATGCCACTCTCCGTTTCGACTACTTGTTTTGACACGATGATCATGGCTCGCCCTTCGGGGTTGCTCGGACAGGGGGCAGTGGTTGAGACTCGCCCTTTGGGGCAGCTCGCACAAGGAGCTATGGCCGAGCCCTTTATGGCAAAGCAAAACAATACTAATAGTTTATATCGTCCTTTGTGCCAGGTACAAACAATGGCGCGTATAGCAGCAGATCAAGTGGTGGAATTCTCACTTGATGAGGTCCAGTCGGTTAAGTTTCGTACTTCGAGAACCCTTTTGGGGAGGTTATTTTCAGACACCAAATTCACACCAATGGAACTGAGGGAAGGATTGATTGAGGCCTGGCGGATAAAAGGAAACCTTAGGGTTATGGCAGCGAAATTTGGCCTATATGAAATTATCCTACCTAGTGAGGAGACAGGGGTTTGGATCCTTAAAAAATCTCCATGGATCGTTAAGGACCGAATTTTCCATCTACGATCCTGGACTCCATCTATCTCCAAGATCACTTTTGATGATTTGGCCATTGCTCCCTTTCGCGTGCAACTCTGGAATGTGAAGGAGGACTGTTGCACTAAACAGTTTGGTCGGAAAGTGGCAGCTGGAATGATAGGACAAGTTTTGGAAACAGATGTCTTTGCATCAAAAGACACAGATGAGTGCTTTGTGAAAGTGCATGCCCTCATTGATTTCACCAAGCCTCTGCGATCTCAATTCAAGGCGGTTAGTGAAGAGATTGGAAGCTTCTGGGTGAATCTCAAGTACGAGTTCTTACCGACCTTCTGCTACTACTGTGGTCGTGTAGGACACTCCAAGCCAGAATGTACTTTTGGCCCCCCTCAAGGCAAGGAACGTTTTGGCCCGCACATGTCTACACGCAAGCCTGGAAGGAAGATTTATCTGGAGGAGGATGATTACCCTCAGGTCCGCAAGGCCAGCAAATCAGTGTGGGTGAATAGGAATACCCAAGTGCACAATGCTGGGGGCGAGAAGGTTGCTAGCAGATTCTCGGGTACTAACGCCCGGCCGCATGCCCAAGTGGCGTCTTATCCTCTCGAGAGAGAGCCGGTCAACCAGAAGAAGAGAGATACTCAGGTTCGGGTGCAAGACCCAAACCATAAACCTATGGGGAATCGTGCTAGCCCGAAGCGGTTTGTTTTCAAAATGTCGCCTCGGATTAAGATTGGTGGAAGTGTTCGACAACATCAGAAGAAGGCATCACCCAGAAAGGTTGGCCCTCCTCCTCGACAGGGCGCTAAGGGCCGCCAGCAGCCTGATCGGCGTGCCAAAGCTCCACAATGCCATCAGGATGAAGACCAGATGGCGGCAGTCTTCGAGCATTCGCGGAGGCGCAGGCTGATCTTACAAGATGAATCTGAGGAGGAAGAGGAGGAGGAGATCATTGGTGGTGGGTCAAATTCCCCTATGAAGCTGGGTGTTCCTGCTGGACCAATGAAGGATCCTAGCTTGAAACCTAGGGTTCGCCCGCGTCTTCGAAAAGGAGGAGCAGTCTGCAATCTTAGTTCCTCCCACAAGGAGGGGGGCTCTACTCCTTCTGGTGCTTTGCTTGACTTGGAGGAGAGGGATTTTGTTGACCCTTTGGGCGAGCCAGTCGAGGGTACGCAACATACTGACTCTGAGTCTGATGATGATCAGACAGCTGAGGATCATAACTCCTTTGAGATCAAGCAACGGTCGCCAGCACAGGATACTTTGGAAACTCGCCATATCATGAAAGGGCGTGTCCACCAAGTAGTGGAAGCGTTTGAAGCTGGGTTAGTCATTGCGAGGGAGGAGGATGGTGGGGCCAAGGGAGGGGTTTCAAGGCTGAATGAGTATGGGTCTAATATGCTGGACCCTATCATGGAGAATCGGAAGCGTGTGATTGATGAGTTGGAGGGGGAGGTGGGTAATCCTCCTACCCCAAAGAAACAGTTTGTGGAATCGGGTGATGATCTGGATAAGGTGGAGGAAGCCAGCCTCAAGTGGCCCCAAGAGGATAAATGAGGCTTCTGGCCTGGAATGTGAGAGGAATTGGGCTTTCCCTCACTTTCCAAACTGCTTTAGGGCTTGTTCATTCTAATAAACCGGATGTAGTGTTTTTTTCTGAAACGCGATCGGGCCGGCGTGTAGTGTCGCGTCGTATGCGGGGTTTGGGTTTTGAGAGTTCTCATTGTTTTTTTGTTGATGCAGTCGATGCATCGGGTGAGTTAGTAGTAGCTTGGGCCCCCGCAGTTGACACTTCGGTGTTTTGTCATTCCAATTTCTACATTTGTTCGCAAATTAATGAAGGAGAGTTTTCTTATTTGGTGTTTTTTGTCTACATTAGTTGTAATGTTGCTGTTCGGGCCACCCATGGGTAATCCTCATAGGTGATTTTAATACTACCCTCCATGAGGGGGGAAAAGATGGGGGTCGGGCTTGGAATGCGGCTCAAGCCATTAGCCTTCGGGAGTTTGTTCATGATTTGGGGCTCCATGACCCCGGTTACCAAGGGGATCAGTTCACTTGGACCAACAAGCGTATGGGGGCGGCTTGCATTCGTGAACGTCTGGATAGGGCTCTTTGCTCTCAATCCTGGATGGATACTTATCCAGAGACTTTGGTCAAACATTTCACGGATCAGGGTTCAGATCATCG